GGCTCAATCAAACATTGAGGTCGCGAGGATAAGAGTAATCATCGCCAACTAAAGAAGTTCTGTACGTCCTTTGAGCATTAAGAGCGACTAGCGTCTAATTTTTCCCTACAAAATCAACCCTCAATCAAACAAGGTCGCGAGGATAAAAGTAATCATCGCCAAAGCAAATTCTCCTTGTCAGCACCTTAGGAAATGTATGGGTACGGTATGGAGAAAATGCAAACTGATGTTAGGGTGTAAAGGGTTACAAGAAAGCTATAAAGTGCTGTTTGTTTGTGTAATTCCAGTAATCGACTCCTTTTCAGAAACTGTGTCTTAGGACATCTTTTCTTCTGCGTTATTTCTTTGTGTATTTTTTGGCGGTCATACTGGAAAGGAAATTGATAGGATTAACTGGCAGTATTGCCATAGTAACTTTTTGCTGAGCATTATTTTGAGGTATTATCGAGCTAGTGTTTCAGTGAATGTGTAATTCATAATGTTTACGTATTTCTTTAGATTGAATCGCTAGCTTGGAGCTATAAAAAAAGGTGTCAGAGCTAGCGATTTTGATTCACTAGAAGGTCCCTTGAGGCCCCAAAAGACAAAGAACTGCAATTTTTTTAGGAATACATTTAGTCTTTTAGAACGTTTGCCACGTGATGTTTATCTCTATTTTAGTAACGATATCTTTTCGAAATTTTCGGTCCAAGCCGTCGGTACAGTTCAAAAAGTAATGTCATAGACTTCAGCTTTTTAACCGCAGCAAAACAAAGGTGAAATTGGTCCTTGCAATACTTCGAAAGTCTCGTAATTTCAGTCGGTGTGTCCTGACTCTTGGGTGAGTCATTTTAACATCGTTCGATTAGCCCAGTTGCAAGATTGTTGACTTACTTTAGTTCTCCATTGTTTACGGGATATGTAGATCCCTTAGGAGCTCGTCAAAAAGGGCTTGATTTTCACGTAGGTTTGCTCTATTTTCAAGAAGGATTAAGCAAAGGACACTTGTTTTGATTTTTTTTATTTTTGTTATTTTATTTTTCCACAGAACACCAAGGTGCCATGGCTCAAGCTCGAAAAGAACAGGACGCCCAACATCTGAGTGAACTCGATGCTCAACAGCTAAACCACGATGCTGAGATGAAGGCACTACAGATGAGATTCAACGAAGAGCTGACCGCTGAGAGAGCCAAGCTGGAGGAGGAGAAGAACGCCGATATGGCACGGTTAGAACAAGCGCTCAGCGGTAACCTCAGCCAGCAACAGGAGTTACAGCTGCAGATGATAAAGGAGCAGCATGATCGTGAACTCGAGGCCGTCCGAGAAGAACTGGTGCGAACTCACATGGAAAAGTTCACCGAAATGACTGCTCGGTTGGAGTCTGAACACGAGGTTTGTTCGTTGGTTTGTTTATAGTTTACTTCTTGAATTGAACCTTGTTAGGGATATAGAACATGGGGTACATTTTGTAATCTTGCAGGTAATATTACGAGAAAAGAAAATTAGAAATCTAAATATTTGTTGTGCTGAAAATATTTTAACAAGTTTTGTGAGTAGTGCGATATTACTGTTTCTATTAACGAGATTTTCTTAATGGTCTTTCACCACCGGTATTCTCACAAAATCTTCTGTGCTATGTATGGGAAAGTCCCAATTTTATTTCATACTGGTAGAAGTATGCTTTAGTCCGCTCAAGATTTTTTTCGTTTCTTATTTTGTACCACTCTCAAACACAACACTCTTAAAGGCTTCAATCATTTTCATAAGAAGTATAGCCAGTGTCATGTTCTTCATTGACACTGATTACATTAAACTTCGCCCTCTGTTTTAGGCGGATTTGGAAAAAATGAGAGAATTTACACGCGCTGAGATGTCCGAGAAATTCCAAACTGAACTGGAAGAGGCCAAAGAAGTGGCTCGTTACGAACTTGAACAAGAACATCTGGAAAACCTCCGACAGCTCGAGGCAAGCCTGGGGCAGAATCACGCAGAACAGTTACGGGGATTGGCTGAACTACAACAGAAACACGTGGATGAAATTCACAACCTCAAGGTTGCACACGAGACGGAAATCGAACGACTGAAAAAGGAGGTTGCGCAAGCGTACAACGATCAGCTTTCCGCCGTGAGTTTGGACGCTGAGAGAGAGGTTTCCCAAGTGAAGGAGGAACTAGACGAAGCACACAGCAAGGAGATCGACGCGTTCAAAGACGCGCTTGAGCGTGAGAAGTCTCGCGTGCTGGCGCTTGAAGCGCTACAGGCCAGCATTCAGACGGCCCATCATGATATCGTGCGACGGATGCAGGAGAACTTTGACAAGGAGATGGAGAATGTACGGAGTAATGTAGATTCCGCACATGGAGAGCAGGTACAAGAGCTGCAGAGCTTGCTGGAGGAGAGACATAAAATGGTAAAGATACACGAACAATATTGCGGTAACCCAAGGATAATTACCAATAGGCCATTTCCGAATTACCTTTGGCCTCTTTTTCAAAACGAGGCCCGGTGTGAAACCATTCTTGTGAAAATGAGTTTAATCTGCATGTTAATAAAAACTTATCATGCCACGAAAGGATGAGCACCTTTGAAAAAGGGGCTAAAGTTAATTCGGGAATTGGTTATTAGAGAGGCTGTACAAAGCTTATTGGGTGGGTTAAGTCTTTGGTCAAGGTCAGTGCGGTTACGTAGCATTACAGCTTCTCGCCCACCCACTAACTTGTCTGTCAGTCCGTCCTTTTGTTTTTGTGACCGTCTGTAGGTCTTCCAGTCTGTCTGTCCGTCTGTCTGGTTTTACTGGCTACGGACTCTTGGTCTGTCGTTTTGTGTTGTTGTTATTTTAGAAGTATAACGAAGCATTCATACGGCAACTTGCTTGTGCTACTAGCTGGGGTGTCGGCACTACACTAGATCTGATAAATTAAAGATAAAAATTCAAAAATGTGAAAATCAGTGATGAAATGAGTAGCCATAAAAATTCAAGAGACTTTTCAAGTGGCGGCTGAGATGCCATGTGGAGTAGCTTCACTATTTTTTATTTTATTTTTTTTTTGTTTGTTTGTTTTGTACGCGGTACTGGCTTTCGTTGTCCCCTCAATTTTAAAATTACTTTTGTTTCTTGGTTTATTTTGTTTGTGCTTGATATTGGTAGGAGCTTAACCATGTCAAATCGGATCTCGCGGCTGCCGAAGAAAGAGCTGCTGCTATTGAGGCTCAGCAGGCTAAAGGTCTTGAGGAACTTCAGGAGCAATACCGTAAAGAGATGGAGACACTTCAAGAATACCTGAAATCCCAAGAGACAGAATTTATAGCAGAAATTGATAGAACTAAGGTGGGACTCTCAGGGCTCAACACTAATGGTAGCCGACTTGCCACAGACTAGTAGAATTCAGTTTTGGCTAGTGGTTTTCAATTTCCATTAGCCAGTTTGGCTAGTAAACAAACTGAAATTGTCGTAACGTCTAAGATGCCACTAGCCACTTGGCTAGTTAGTTGAAAAGTTAGCGTCGAGCCCTGCGACTCTGCATTTCGACATTTTTCTTTACACCAACGCTCTATAAAACTGCGATGTTGTTGTTTTCAAATTCGTTAGACAACAAATCCTTAATTGAACATCCAGTCTGACGTTTTCAAAGCAAAGCTATTGATAGTGATAATCATTGGTATAAATAACTAACTCTGCCAATTTTGTCTTGATTCTTAACTCTTATGTTCTCTCGTTTAGGTTGAGAATGAAAAATTGTCGAACAAGCTGCAGGAGAAACAGTCTCTGATTAAGGAGGTGTGTGGGGTAGACAATGTTTAACAGGAGCTGTTTTTTCTTGATTAATGCCATATTGGTGTGCCATGTTTACCTGTTTATATTTATGGATGGGTTTTCAAGTTTTTCTGAGCTCTTGGATCTCATTATTTGCCCGTCTTTCAGTCTTTTATGATTTTTTCGGGGTTGAAAGTTTGGTTATTTCTTGAGATCTGGACGTTCAACTTATGGCCTTTTTTACCTCAGGGAACTGCATAAAATTGACGGCAGTAAACTAGAGCTTCATGTGCAAGTTGTTTTGAACTAACTTTTCCGCGTTAGATCTTCTTGTCTAAAAAACTGACAGGCCAGCTTTTGAACAAGGAGATTTGCCAAGGAAAAATTTTTAAACGAAGAAAAGTTTGGTTTTTACCTGTCTTGACAGGGCTTCTTGCCAGGGCTCCTTGCCAGGGAAATTGGTAAAAGGTTTTTTTGGGGAAATTTTATTCTGTTGGCAAAATTCCTTTGCAAGATCCCCTCATTTTTTCCCTCCGTTTGTTCTTTCTAGATGGAAACTGAACAAGCTCGTCTTCAGAACGATCTTCAGCGTCAGTCAGACAATTATAACTTGATTTTAACTCGTCGAGACAGAGAACATCAAGAGGAAGATAACCTCGTTACCATGCTACGCTCTGATGTGGAACGACTTGCTGCTGAGAGGTGTGGGCCCACAGCTATAACTGTATAAGTTCCGTTCCCATAAGACTGTGCTGTCGTGTTCGACGGGTTGAACTGATTCTAAACCATTTTTTGTCTTCTTCTCTGTGTCAGAGATGCATTGCAACGGGCAAACGAGCGACTTTTAAAACTTCTTTCTGATGTGGTGAAGCAAGCGGCCTCTACCGAGGAGACGATCAACAAACAGCTCGAGGACCTGATACAGGAGACCAGCCAAAATGAAGAACAGCTTACACAGTGGCCATTACATGAGTTGGAGTCCGGTACATTACACGAGTCCCAGATCCCACCAGACTCTATTCGTCGCCCGCAAAGCTCGCTTCCTGCCGGGCTATTGACGTCAACGCCCGCTGCGGGACCCAGCGCCCCTTCGGTCAACTTTGCGACACCAACCGGAGGTGCTGCCGCCGACTTGTCCGGGTCAGAAGATGCAACGCTGACCAGTAAGACCGACTTGTCTCTTCTCAGTGATGAAGGGTTGGAACTGTCGCAGCGACAGACGGACTCTATGTTTCAAGGGCCGAGCTTAGACGAACAAGCTGAGGAACTTGTGATAGGTACGGTCTAAGGTTATTTGGAAAAAAGGAGTCACAAACTTTTTTTTTGTCCAAAGGCTTAAAGAAGGGAAAAGCATCCAAAATCCCGAGGAAAAACCGATGAAAGTATTTCTTTTGTAAAGTAAATCTTAGCTATTCAAGGGAGAAAATTGGCTCTCATTCCGACCAATAATATCCCTCTTAGTCCCGCTCAGAATTACACGCGCCTGCTCGCACGCAATTCCCACGCCTTACAAGCGCGAAACGCCTGCACTGCGTGTCACTACCCGCTGTAAATCAACTAGAACTCGCTGAATGTGTGTTCTGGGACAAAAGCTTATGTGGTGAAACAAAAAAATGTTGGATTATTAATTCGTCTAAGGATTTTTGTACAGCCTCTACCCTTTAGTAACAACTGGTTAGTCAAACTGTCCTGGTTGTCAATCGAAGGGTTCATTTCTGACAACTGACTAAACTGGATTCAGCTCCAAAAAACCTCGTCCTTTGAGGAGAGCCCATCCGTTTTTTCACGCTTCTGTATGGATTACTCTTGACAAGCGTGGCAGTATGAAGCCCGAATATTGTAGACGACGGTACAACTAATTTTCCAATCCTTTTGACACTGAAAACACGCGAAACACATTCGCCTGCACGTACTCGTGAAGAGTAGATTTGCGCCTTCCTTTGACTCCGATAAGAACCAACTCAAGAAAAGCACCCGAAGAAATCCTAGATTAATTCACTTTGATTTTTCTCTCCTTCTCTCGTCAGATTCTGGGGTCAGACTCAGATCTGCAGCGCAAAAACTGCTCGAAGTTGTGGCCACAATGACCAAACAGGTAATATCAACTACAGGTGTTCTAACGAGTGCGTTAATTATTGGCTTGTTAGTTAATTTTCGTCGGGGTTTTTTTTTTTTTTTTTTTTTGCTTTTAACTATTCAAGTAGCGTAAAAGTCTACCCTAGTCTCATACTTAACGCACTGGCATTTTTCGGGCTGAAGTGTCATTTTGAATTTGTCTTACAGTGGAACCAGGCCCGCACGGCGCAGAAAGAACTTCTTAATGCTACGTCTCAACGAAACGAGGAGCTCGAGCAAGTAATGGCGGCTCAAGAGAATCTTATGGCTAGATTGAAAGAGGAATTAGAAGAAAAAGAACGCCTTACTAACGAACTGAATAAAGCGAATGAACAAATGGAAGAAATGGCGACTGAAAACGACAGGCTACAAGGGGGAGCCCCAGATAACGTGAAAAAAGAGAACGAGGTGATAGAAAAAGAAAATGAAGAATTGAAATCAAAAGTCGAGACCGCGGAGAAGGAGTTAAAAGAATTAAAAGACCGCGAGCGGGAGATGGAAGAAGCAAGAAGAGTTCTTGTGTCTGAAGTGGAAGCTCTTCGAGAAGAAGGTAGGCTTCGCCTGGCGCAGGAAGTGGCGGAGAAGAACAAAGAGGAAGAAGAACACTCGCGGGAGTTGAAAATGTTAAGAGAGGCGAGAGATGAATTGGCTGAAGAATTAGAAACCATGAAGGAAGCTGGCGACGAACTTTTGGGAGAGAATGACGCACTGAAGGCTGCGATAGAGCAGCTGGCCAAAGAGAAGAAAGACCTGGAGGAAAAGGTAGTGCAGGTTGAGGCGCAGAAACTCGATGAACTTGATGGCCCGGAGGAACTCAAGGCTAATGTGAAGGAACTGAGCGAGGTTTCTCAGCGGCTTCAGGAAGAAAACTCTCTATTGGAGGCAAAAGTTGCTTCTTTAGAGAAAGAAGCTAATCGATCACAAATGACGGGCTCTGAGGGCGAAGTTATTCAGGAGAATGATCATTTGAAGAAGGAGGTTGAGAAATTACGGGAAGATATCGGCGATTTGCAGGAGGAAAACGAAAAACTGAAGGACGCAATTGAACAATTCAGGGAGGCGGTGCAGCAGCTGTGGGATGAGAAAGAAGAGTTGAGTAGCGAGCTGTCTAAGGCGAAAGGAGAAGACACCATGCAGTATGACGAGCTCCAGCAGCTGAGATCGCAGTTCAAACAACTAACGGAACAGAACGAAGAGCTAACGGAAATGCTTAAAAAAGCTGAGTTGGAGCAAGAGAAGAAACGAGAACTGCTCCAGAAGGCGCAGATCCACCTCGAGAAGATTCCTGAATTAGAAGCGGAGGCAAAAGAACAGAATGAACTCGTGAATCAGTTGAGGCAGGAACAGCTGCGAGATAAGGAAGAGATTGAGAAACTCCAACGCGCTGCGTCCTTGCAGAAGGAAGCACCCTTGATACAGGTATACCGGCTGGACGTACTTTCTGTTGCTCACGCTATTAGTGATCCTTATTGGAACTCTGAAATACTAACTGCTCCAAAATCGAGTAATGATCATACCATGGAACTGCATGCTTCGTCCGCTCATGACCACTTGCATATTTAAACTTATCCAATCTTTTCCAACCACATGGTGAAGCGTTTCCGAATTTACATCTACCTGGCACTGACTGAGAGGGCTTTATACCTCAAAAAAAAATTTCAAAGAAAAAAAATAAGATGAGAGAGTTCAGTTAGCTTTCCTTCAGTGGTGCGTTTGGTTGTCCAAAGAAGAATAAATGAGCGGAAATACCCTCATCAGAAATTATTCACTCTATATTTCTTAATTCGTGTTCGCGGTCAGAAGGCGTTTAAGTACGAAGTACATCCGGATCAAATGTCGGTATTTGAACAACAGCGTACCTACCCCTCCCCTGACCCCAATAACAGTCATCTGATAACAAGATTTGGGTTAGAGGAGGGGTGGGTGCGCACTTGCACAGAACCTAACATTGATCCGTGATCCTTCTACAGACGCAGTCATAAGTCTGGACATACGAGACAGAACATTGCATCTCTGTAGAGTAAGATTAGGGGATTTTTTTTCAATCCGGATTTTAGTACTCGTTCTCCTTGACAAGGTTTTTTTGTGACTCGATATTAGCTTGCGCCTACTTACTTCAACAGCAGTAGTCTATGGGTCAATGATGCATATTCGCGCAGTGAGTGAGAAACTTTTCATTTAGACGTTTTTGTTTCGTTCAACAGGTCACTACTGTAGAAACTGTTGAGGGAGGTATTCATGGTGACGAATTATGGGGAGTTGACGATCCAACAGGCAGCGGAGATTCCAAACAAGATGAGGAAACCGTTCAAGAATTAAAGGCGAAAGTCAACGACCTTGAGCGACAAGTCGAGAACTACAAGAAGGTCTTGGAAGAAAGTATTCAGGAGCCGGAAGCGAACAAGCTTATGGAACTCGTTGAACAGGTTCGCTCTGAGCGGGAAGACTTAGCTGGCAGGTGCAAGGATCTGGAAGGGAAAATAAACGTGGAGGAACAGTCTAAAGAAGAAATGCAGACTGCTATCGAGGAGCTGGGTACCCGCTTAAAGGAACTGGAACAGAGTAACATAGAGTTAGAAGGGGAGCTGAGTACAAAGACGCAAGCTGAGATCGATTTGTTGGCGCAGATTAAGGATCTGCAAGATGAACTGACCAAAGCTCTGGAAGCTTTTAAGGAGTTGGAGGAACTGAAAGACAAATTGCAGGAGGATCTGGAAACTAGCGAGGAGACTCAGAAGGACCTGGAGCGAGAGAAAGTGACCATGCAGAAACAGCTTAATGATGGATTTCTCCAGATCTCTGCGCTGAAGGTGAGATAACAACCCTCTTTTTCTATTATTTTCATGGTCTCCCAGAGAGGGCCACGAGAAAGTGTACTTTGGTATGACCTCAATGTGAAATCATGACATTTTTTCTTGGCGAGACTTTTATACGTCGACAATTGGAAACTTCAACACCCCTTGCCCGCAACCCCCTGGGCACTTGAACTTTTGTTGATTGATTTGTTCAAACTCCCTCTTCCGGGCCAAAATTGTGTTCAAATGCCTTGCCCAAGTGCCGAATTTAAGGATCAGCTCAGTTTTTGGAAAAGGAAAATCAGCGACGGTGACTTTCTACTCACTGACCAAGCTTTAAAATACAGATCTTGTAAACCTTTTCTTTTGAGCCAATTGCTCACGAAAGTAAGTTCTTTACCTTTAAACGCCTCCTTGTTTAAAAATACAACACCATTATTCCACTGGAAAGACTTGATGCTTCTGGTTCAAATTTCGTACCCCAGCCTCGCGAGGTTCAAATTCCCAAACCTCTGTGGAATGGGAGAAAGTTGAAGCTTCGAATAGATCAGCGCATCACCTCACAATGGCTATTTGTCTAAGGATCAACGTGGAAATGGGTAAAACATCTAACTGCGTATGAGGAATTCTAAGTTCTAGTGAGTCATTATAATCTGAGAGGACCAGATGTAATCTTGCTCACAATATGCTAAGGAAACCTGATCCAAAAGTGGGTTTATTTCGCTCCTCTCTCTTAGGCTAATAGAACGTGCACCGAGATTTTTGTCGAGCCATCCGGTTTTTGTGGTTTTGTATTGAAGGAATATAATATGTATTCACCTCTTCTGTAAACTGTACTTAATTGCTACTGGGCAATGTTAAAAAAATAATTTCCTTACCCTTTTTAGGAGCAGCTTAATCGGACCAAGCACGAGGGTGGAGCGGAACGGGAAGAAACTCCGACCCCTGTCCGAATGCTGCGAGACGAACGCGAGGCTTACGATCGTAAAGACGAAGAATCTCGGGCGTTAGCCGAACAGTTAGACACGTTCAAAGAGGCTCTTGACAAGAAAGAAGACGAATTGAAAAACTTGGCGGAGCAGATGGAAGAAATGAACCTAATGATGGAAGAGCAGCAGAAACTGTTGGAAGACCAGCACAGCAAACTGAAGGAACAAGAAAATTTGATAAATGAGCGCGAAGACCGCATGAAAGAATTAGAAAAACTATTGCAGGAGAGCAAAGAAGGGGTGGAAGGTAAGGAAGAGTTTGACAAAGCGCTCAAAGGGAGCCAAGATGCTTTGGTTCAACAACAAAAGGTCATTGAAGAGCTCGATAGTAAAGTAAAAGCCATGGAGCAGTTGACAGTTGAAAACGTAGGTAAGTTGAAAAATGCGGAAGAACAGTTGGCTTCTAAAGAAGAAGAGATAAGGCTACAGGGAGAACAGCTGGCTGCGAAAAGAGAAGAAATTAAAGTGTTGCAGAACGAATTAAGTCGAGAGAAAACTGAGAAGGAGGAGAGAGATACTGAAGCAGAAACCCATCTAGCCAAGCAGGTTAGTTAAGAACGAGATATGACGTAATGTGAGCGCTAGTGAATGTGCGCGCGAATAAAAGCGCGAGCGAGTGAACGCGCAGATCATTCGTACCGATTTTTCGTTTGTTTGCTCAACGAATATTGAGCTCTTGGTAAAACGACTTTGTCAATTTTACGATCCACAAAGAACAGATCACGCTCATGAGATCAAACGGTTTCAAATTAAGCACGAATACTTTTAAAAACTGTTTTGTGTTTGGCAAGAAATTGTTTTGGTAACACTTTTTTAAACTTTCCCGAGTTTGAATGCACGTAATGTTTTCTTCGCATGTTAACAGGGTAGACATGACGCGTCTTGGCTTGCATTCTGCTGAATATGGTTCTGTTAGTTATCGGCAGTTGATCCTTTTAATTCTATTCCTTATACATTGTAGCAAAGTAATGATTTTCTTTTCGTTTTTTGTCCTCTGCAGTTGGAGGCGATGAGTCAGAAATTAAATCAGTCACAAGAGATCGTGCGAACCAAAGAGCAAGAGAAAGAACAGTTTCGTAAAAATCTTCTGGCTGAGTCACGCCAGTTGGGAGCTCTCCGAGCAGAAATGGACCAATTACGTGAAAAATTCAAATCCCAAGAGGACAGTCACACGTCTACCATCGCTGACTTACAAAAAACGCACAGAGATGAAGTCAATGCCCTCAAGGCGGAACTCACAAGGGGGGTACCCACGGGAGCTGAAGATGCTTTGAGTCCGAGTCAACAGCTTGTATTTGAACAGGTGTGGTGTTTGCAAAACTGTAAATTAAGAGTGTGGTTGACTGATTATCTCACTCACATTTTTATTTGTTTGAAAAATGATAAATGATAAGCGCAAATTTTTTTTAGACTTCTGATTGGTGGAGCCAGAAAGCAGTACCAGTTTTTATCAACTTAATCTGTTCTTTGCTTCGAGTTGTTGTTGGCAGTGCAGTTGGTCTTGAGAGAATTGGAATTTTTCACCAATTGTTGAAGTGGACTTTCGGTTATTTACTGCCAATGCTTGAACTGATTGAAGTGAAATGTTAATCGTCCAAAATAAGTGCGAAAACGTGTTTTGTTTAGCGTTGCCGTATTTTGGTCAAGATGATTGCACAAGTGCTGTAGAAAAAACACAGGGCGAAACGAACAAGAACCAGTGCTTCTTTGGATTGCTTGCGACGCTCAATTGAAATGTGCCCTCTAAAAGTTTGCACAGATTGTTTAAAACTACTTCCTTGTTCGTAAGTGTTTAGTATAGTGATACTCATTTCCAATTTTATGCCTATCAATAGAAACTAAAAAGCGTGGAAGAAAACCTCAAACGGCAGTACGAGAATCAGCTAGTGGCTGTGAAAGAGAATGAAGAACAGCGACGACAACGGGATATAAAACAAATGAAGGCCGAGCTAGAGATGGACAACTTGACAAAATTGAACAATTTACGGAAAGATCTGCTCGCCACACATAATGACCAGGTGAACAGAATGCGACAGGATCATCAACGAGAAATCGAGCGCCTGATGACTATATCAGGTCAGTGGTTAAAATTTGATATTATGTGTCGGGAAAATCCCTGACGATCGGTGATTTCAATGTTTCCCGACCATCCCAGATTTTTCCTATATATTGAGAGACCGACAGACGTGTTTTCCAGATTTTTCCACGCGCCGTCTTTATTTGAGCATCTAGAGGACTGGCAGCGAGCTGAAAGTATTGGCGGCGTCCCCGACAATGAAAATTGTAGTTTTGTCAGCGATCATCGCAGAAATCTTGTACCTGTCGGGAAAAAGGAAACGTTCCCGATTTTCCGCCGATCAGCCCAGAGAGTCGCAGATCTCTTCGATTTCGAGTTTTCATTTGTCGATGGAATCGCTGACCGTCTGGGATTCTCCCGACATATGAAAACTAGGCTTTAAACTTTGCCTCTGACGAAAGGCTAACAGCCGAAACGTCAGCTTTTTAACTCTTTACGGTGGCCAATTTAGAGTTTCAACTAAGTTGTTAAAACCAAATTATCTTTAAACTTTGGCATTATCTCGATGGGAGGTTGTCAGTTATTACCAGTTTAGCGATGTTTCTAACTGCTCTAAATGTTTTTTCTCCAAGTGAAAGTTTTCAATTTCTGCCAGTTGAATTTTTAATTAAATATGACACGCTAATCTTTAACCTTCCTAATAGTGGTCTCAACATTTTACCTTTCTAGGCATCGAATCTGCGTCACCAGAGATGCGCATGCGCCTGAACTCGGCGCTGGATGAGAACGAGCGATTGGACTGTGAACTTGTTGGACAGCTCGTACGGCAGGCCCAAGTCAAGTCAGCAGCCACTTCGCCTCCGAAATCCCGAAACACTATCGAAGTAAGAGAGGGTTTGTCTTATGCGTGTTTGATGAATCAGTCAATATCCATTTATGACAAGGTAGATCTATTAACACATTAATGAAAGACAAAATTGTGGCTAGAAGATAAAATTGTCAGCACGCTGGACTTCGGGTCGAGTGTCATAGTTCGAGCCTTGGCCCATTTATTGTAACGTATTTGTGTTCTTGGGGTGGGAACTTCAGACTCAGAGAGGACCTCTAAGCTCGAGGGATTTTAGTAACCACGGGCAAATCACCAGGGAAGCTTACGAAATGTAGGAGTAACTTGCAATGGGCTGGCATCCCATCCAGGGGGGAGTAACAATACTCCAAGTCGCTTTATGCTTGGGAAATAGAGTGATTTCTAGCGGCTCAAGCCACCTGAGTCGTGCACAGGCTTGGTTTTGCCAATTTAGAAGACGCAGGTGGCTCTAAATACGCAGAAAAAGGCACCATTAGCAAGACAGTTCTTTATCAAACAACAAACATATGAAATACATATATATGAACTGCGGTTATGAAACGTATATGTGCACGATCCTTCGCAGTAAAGCACTATTTAAGCTATTTAAGATTTTCACTATTGCTTAAATAGTGCTTTACTGCGAAGGATCGTGCACATATACAGTTCTTTATGTCAGACTGAAGCAAATAATACCCCTGTTTTAAGGATCCTATCAAGAGTATATCGTTTATCCTCTCTTTACCAGGGTCTCCTCGACAATCTTCATACTGAGGCTGAGACCATCCAATCACTTGTTAGCGCAGTATCTCCTTCACCTCAAGACCGATCACTAGTAAGCCCGGATGTAACGGTTTTACAGTCTTCTTGGTCAGCGGAGAAGCAGGCGCTTCTTGAAGCTGTCCAGTCCTTGAAAAATCTAGTCGTACAAACTCGAAAAGTTTCTACGGTAAGGGCTGACTTTCACCGCGAACAATGGAATAGGAGTCGGGGCAGAATTAGAAACGCCTAGCATAAAATTTAATCAGAATAAAAGCAACGAAGTCAGAAACTTATTACTGTTAACAACGTCGTCTATGATGTAGGTATGATTACATTAAATTAGATTGTGACACTGTATTTTTTTCACTGTTGGTTGTGTTAGGTTAGTCTACCTGGCATAACTGTGATTTTCAATGTCGTCATTTAGCCCACAACTGTGATTACCACTAAATGAACTATCGCTAGTCTAGATACGGGCTTGATACGAACCAACATAATGACCAAATAATTTGGATATATCAACAAAATTGAAATGGTAAATTGGCAACGGTAACGATTACAAAAGCTGACGTTTCGAGCGTTAGCCCTTCGTCGAAGCGAATGACGAAGGGCTATCGCTTCGAATACTTTTAAAAACTGTTTTGTGTTTGGCAAGAAATTGTTTTGGTAACACTTTTTTAAACTTTCCCGAGTTTGAATGCACGTAATGTTTTCTTCGCATGTTAACAGGGTAAACTTGACGCGTCTTGGCTTGCATTCTGCTGAATATGGCTCTGTTAGTTATCGGCAGTTGATCCTTTTAATTCTATTCATTTTACATTGTAGCAAAGTAATGATTTTCTTTTCGTTTTTGTCCTCTGCAGTTGGAGGCGATGAGTCAGAAATTAAATCAGTCACAAGAGATCGTGCGAACCAAAGAGCAAGAAAAAGAACAGATTCGTAAAAATCTTCTGGCTGAGTCGCGCCAGTTGGGAGCTCTCCGAGCAGAAATGGACCAATTACGTGAAAAATTCAAATCCCAAGAGGACAGTCACACGTCTACCATCGCTGACTTACAAAAAACGCACAGAGATGAAGTCAATGCCCTCAAGGCGGAACTGACAAGGGGGGTACCCACGGGAGCTGAAGATGCTTTGAGTCCGAGTCAACAGCTTGTATTTGAACAGGTGTGGTGNTGCACATATACAGTTCTTTATGTCAGACTGAAGCAAATAATACCCCTGTTTTAAGGATCCTATCAAGAGTATATCGTTTATCCTCTCTTTACCAGGGTCTCCTCGACAATCTTCATACTGAGGCTGAGACCATCCAATCACTTGTTAGCGCAGTATCTCCTTCACCTCAAGACCGATCACTAGTAAGCCCGGATGTAACGGTTTTACAGTCTTCTTGGTCAGCGGAGAAGCAGGCGCTTCTTGAAGCTGTCCAGTCCTTGAAAAATCTAGTCGTACAAACTCGAAAAGTTTCTACGGTAAGGGCTGACTTTCACCGCGAACAATGGAATAGGAGTCGGGGCAGAATTAGAAACGCCTAGCATAAAATTTAATCAGAATAAAAGCAACGAAGTCAGAAACTTATTACTGTTAACAACGTCGTCTATGATGTAGGTATGATTACATTAAATTAGATTGTGACACTGTATTTTTTTCACTGTTGGTTGTGTTAGGTTAGTCTACCTGGCATAACTGTGATTTTCAATGTCGTCATTTAGCCCACAACTGTGATTACCACTAAATGAACTATCGCTAGTCTAGATACGGGCTTGATACGAACCAACATAATGACCAAATAATTTGGATATATCAACAAAATTGAAATGGTAAATTGGCAACGGTAACGATTACAAAAGCTGACGTTTCGAGCGTTAGCCCTTCGTCGAAGCGAATGACGAAGGGCTATCGCTTCGACCAAGGGCTAACGCTCGAAACGTCAGCTTTTGTAATCGTTACGGTGGCCAATTTACCATTTCAACTTTGTTGATATATCCAAATTATTTCGTTACCCCCACCGACGCAGCCCCAAACAGTTTCTTTAGAAACTATCAGCCTTTATTCAACATAATGACCAGTTGGCTTGTTAACTCAGTTGGTAGAGCACTGCATCGTTATGGCAGAGGTCATAGGTTCAAATCCCGTACGGGCCTGAATTTTTTTCAGGCCATATTTCTACGACTAAATTAGTAGGGTTTATTGCTGCAAGGATCACTTTGAGAGAAGTCTAGATAACCTCTGGTACCAGTCAGCTAATGGCTTTTGACACTTTTGGGTTTGACAAGCATGGTAATCTTAATTACACATCCTCTTGCTGCTTGGAAATGTTTGAAGTCTTCCTGAAAGCAAATAACTCCCCAAGGTTTTGGAAAACTTCTAAGGTTAACCTCCCTTTTTGCGATAATCAAGCCTAGACTGAAGTTACAATTTAAAGTTTGTTCTTTTACTTGTTCTTTTCTCTAATATCATCGTAACTTTTTCTTCAGCCCTCCGGAAAACTTCACGAGGAAGCTGATTGGCGAACAGACTTGTTAAACGCCGTGCAAAAGGTACGTTTGTGTTCTTTTCAGTTCTGATGACCCAAAATAGCAAATGCTAATCACACTTGCTCACTATTAATGTGCGGACCATGTGGAAAAAGAAGAAAACTTGTGCACAGAAATATAACAAACTTACACAAACGGACAAAAACACGAATAGAAGAGGGCTTAGAGCTGTGTATTCATGAAAGGAAATTCCGAGTGCAGCCGTGAAGTAATCAATATCTGGATATGAAAGATTATTTGAAAAAGATTGTTTAACAAATCAGGATTCCTAGATTTTTTTTTTTTTCTGTATAATTTTAATGTCAAGTCCTTCAGAACGCATTTTGAATTTTTCCCTAGTTTTTCTTAGTGGTGAATAAACAATATCATATGTACAGGGAAGTCTGGTGTCATATTGATCTACTTTTTAAGTAGTCAAACTAAATGGAGTCTATCTAAAAAGTACTTGTACTTGTTTCGTACTCCTTTAAGGTCTTTGAGAAAGATAAAGATGTTCTTGTAGCAGAGCTGAGGACCTCACAAATTGTTCACGGTCAGGACTCGCCCGGGGCCAGA